GGGAGCATAGACCCACTAGGGAAAAGGGAAAGGGGCTCATTTCCTTGCATAAACCAATAGGTATTGTGGCCCAGTGAATAGTGGTTATTATTCATTAAAAATTTAGTGGGTCTACTACATGAGACAGCATTGCTTATGTCATGACTTTAGAAATACTCTAATGCCTTGACCACCTGTAATATATGAGGGAAAAGAAAATCATAAGGAAAAGAAAAGGTTAAGAGGCAGAGATAAAAAATTATTTGCTTTTCAGTGAAATTGACATACCATTTTTATGCACATGTGCCTTCCTCTTCCTATTCTGCAAGTTCTTTCTCTCACAAAAAAGATTTTTAGACTAATTGTTGTATCTGCCACTTGCTAAATCTGTTTTCTAAATTACAAATTCAGCCTTCACTGTGGGTGCACTGCCAGCCACTTCTTTCACAAAAGATCTTTGTACTAATTGTTTTATCTGCTGCTTGCTAAATCCGTGTGCTAAATTATACCTTTCATTGAAATAACACCAAAACCTACTCAGGAAGCAATTAGTAGGTATTGGCATTTTTAAAAAGCAGAGCTTATATGTTTTAGATTGTGTGGGAGGGTCTGAAAGATAGATGTACAAATAATACATCAGTCAAGGGACTACAAGGCTTTTAGGACATAATGTTATTTCACAAATGCCTTTTCTAAGAGATTTGTTAAAAGTAGGTCTCTCCGAAATCAGAGAGGGAGACAAACCATGAGAGGCTCCTAACTACAGGAAACAAACTGAGGAGTGCTGGAGGGGAGGGTGGTGGAGGGATGGGGTAACCAGATGATGGGCATTAAGGAAGCACCCGGTGTTATATGCAACTGATGAATAACTGAACTCTACATCTGAAACTAATGATACATTATATGTTAACTAATTGAATTTAAATAACATAAGATTTTTTTAAAAAAAGGGGGGAAAAAGTAGGTCTCTTTATGCTCACTGTGCCTAAAACCATGTAAAGATTATATAAGACTTTCTTAGGTACTATTATTAAAAATAAATCTTATAGATAATCTGTTCTGAATTTAAA